TAAGATTGCTGACTTTGGGTTGTCTAGATGTTTATCTGATGCATCAAAGACCACCACATGGCTTGCTGGCTATCTGGCATACATTGATCCTCATCTCCTTATGAGTTCTGAAAATAAATTACAGGAAATAAATAAGGAGTCTGATATATACAGTTTAGTTATGCTCTTATGGGAAATATCCAGCTTACGTCCCCCATTTGAGGAAGAAGATAGAAGCACTCTGTATATTAAGATATTAAATGGTTGCAGGGAGGCTCCTATTATAGGAACTCCACAACAATATTCCGTTCTATACACTGGTTAGTTACATATTTGTGCAGTTCCAATTAGTACTCGGCAAAATCAAACAAAACCTTCAAGTTTTTGAAAATATCGATTTACAGTATTGTGCTGTGCATTAATTACAAAATCTATTTTTACTCTAATCTGACTTTAAACTTCATGACAAGTTACTACGAAGTCCAAAGTAAGATGGATGCCTGTTAGATTTATATATTTACTAAAAATAAATTTTGTATTTAATGTCCAATACTGTAAATTGATAGATTTAAACCTTGAAAACCAATCGTTATTATATTGAATAATTTAAAATTATCCACTAATAATGCTGGCAAGATGATCCGAAAAAACGTCCTACTATTGATAAAGTAGTAGATGAACTTAGTAGGTGAATAATCTTAGAAACTATAATGTATAAAAAAATTTTTACCTGATCAAGCGACATATTTCTAAACATACATATCAAATTAACAGAATGCAGATAACAAGGTATTTGAAATTAGCATTTTTAATACTTATTTTTTGCTAATATCATTTCTCTAACCAATTTTATAGTCAGTAAGTATTATATTCATTCAAATTAAGAGTGTGTAAGTAAAAGGTTTAACAAACTATCGTTTCATTGTAATTCATAAAATGCACAGGCAGTGAGTAATTTTGCGACTTGTATAACAAACATTCTTTAAGTTGACAAGGATTCAAATAATATTTACTAATCATTTTATATGTCATGAATACTTGTCAGCATTAGCAGAAATGAATCTCAACGTTTTATCGGCGACGTAAAGATTATGGCGTTAACAAAACAATTAATTTATTGAATGAGGAAGTATTGTCTTTCGAGTCAATGAAATGTGAGGAGTCAATAAATATGAAATATCTTATTTGTTGAATGAAATAGAAGCAGGGAGCTCACTGAGCCAATGGAATATGAGGTTATGAAGTGCGAAGGAAACCAATTCAATGTCAACTCAGTAAAAATAGCTGTCAGAAATATGTATACTGTTGCAGAAGTATCAGCAAATTATGTACATTTCGCACCATTAATAGAAATATTTTTAAAATTAGGGGAGGATATTGTAACTTTATATCAAAAAGCTGAACATAACAAACATTTATGTAGTTATTTAACTCAGCGAGTAAATTCAGCTGTGGCAGTTATAAGAAACTTAGAAATTCGAAAACAAGATAATGTAGAATTTTTTAGGGAGGCATCTAATCTTCAACTTGTAAAAGATTTTGTAAAATGTATGCTTGATATTAGAAAATTTGTTGCTGATGTTTCTCAGCTCGGTTCTTCTTTAATTCCACTAATATTGTACAAAAGTATAAGGATTTGTCGAGTAGATTTGGTGGGTACATGTCTTCTTTAAAATTCGCGTTAGCGATTCAGTATCTTCAGGGCATAAATAATAATGCGGAAAAATTAAAAGAGCATGGTTTGGATTCTAAAAATGATTTGGAGCTACAGTGTCAAATCAAAGTTATTAGGTCAGATTTGGCAGAAATGAAAAAGGTTGCTATATATAATCTTGGTGATTCGTATTTATACGCTAATCGTTGTAATCTCAAATCCTTTCTAAATCTGGTTTATAAGAATATGGTGAAAAATGATATACCCTACAAAGTAGCTAAAAAAAAGAGCTATAATGTGCAGGCTTCTAGAGAAATATCAAAATGAATATGTGCCTTATATATTTAGCTTACTCCAATAAGCTAGACTAGTGATAGGTAGTAAATCATAAAGCTTACATAGCTATTAT